TAGGGAGACCCCAAGATAGACCCCAAAATACTCATATCCTTTATGAATGGGACCCCATGAATGTACCTCTTATTGTGGGAAACTCGCAGATGTTCAAAAATGCCCCTAATATACCATAGTAGTTTCCATTTTCTTTTCCATTATCCCAATATAACCCCATTATACTATGAAAGTTTCCATTTTCTTTTCCATTATCCCAATATAACCCCAACATACCATAGTAGTTTCGATTTTCTTTTCCATTATCCCCATATAACCTCAACATACCATAGTAGTTTCCATTTTCTTTTCCATTATCCCTAAACCCTAAACCCTAATCCCTAAACCCTAAACCCTAGTAGTTTCCACTTTCTTTTCCATTGCTCTTTGGATCGCTGCCGTGCAGGCATTGGCTCGCACTGTGCACAGAGTCTCAGATCATCGCTCGGGCCCTTTCTCCCGATGCAAATTATCTTACTGGTGGTTAGTAGAGCATAAGGGAATACAGGGGTATAATAGGGTTATGTAAGGATAATGGAAAAGAAAACAGAAACTACTATTTAGGGTTTAGGGATGAGGGAATATCTTCTTGGATGATACATTCCCTTATTCCCTACTAACCACTAAGTTCTCGGGCGTCAAGGGCCCATCTCTTCATCTTCGCAGGTCCTTGCATGTCAGGGGTAAATAGTTGTCCCTACCCGGACTGTTGATATCCTGGTCTGCTCTGGCTATTACTTCGACGCAGAGTGCGGAAGCCCTTGCGCTGCAGGCGGGTAAAATCGCGTCCTGATCAAATCTCCGAGTTCGTCGTGCTGAAGCATGACCTCACATTCCCCATCTACAGCAGCAAAAAAGAACTCCTTATAACTCAAAAACAGGCACGTCAGTGACAGCAACAGCCATAGGCTGCCTGCTAAAAGAAAAGAGCTTCCTATCCGTCTGTCAAGGCCATTGGATGCCCTCGAGTCTTTGTTGCTTGATGAGAGCTGACAAAAAAAAGCTTTTGCCCCTGGTGCGAGGAACTGCTGCCTCCTGACAGCGGCTTTACAGTATCATGCCATGGTCCAGATTCGCCTCTGCCACTCCTCTGCCCCTCTGCCCATGGCAAGCTTACTTTGTCAAGGTACCCATCCTTCTACTTCGCCTTCACGTACTTTGACCTGAGTGTGGCCAAACAGGATGAAGCTTGAGGTGCGTGTTGCTCGGATGCTAGCCCCATCAGCTGTTGGGTCAAGCAAAGCTTCGGATTACAACTTACAATTTCTTGCAGCCTGCAAATCTTAAGCCTGCAGTGACGAGCATGTATCATCCACATGTCTGCACACTGACTTTTCAGACTGTGGGCAGCTGTGGGAGCACTGTGCGGCCTAGCAACTTGGACTCGACCCCAGTTCTGCGTGTCATCGAAACCGAAGATGCGCAGGCGATCTCCCTTCACGCCTGGGTCATGGAGTGACAGGCATGAGTCTTTCCCCGCAGGCTACGAGATGCATGGGTTGAACAAGAACATCTTCGAACCCGACTCCTCAATCTGGAACCAGACTTAGAGTCCCTCCGGCATGACTGGTTCTTTGCGAAGATTTGAAGCTGACGTGTGTCTGATGCCTACACACATTGCCCACTTCCTGCATTTGGATCCCATTTGTGATGTACTAGATGCCGTGCGATACTATCAGAACCCGACCCAAAACGGCCATAACAGTTGAGAAAAGCCTCTGCCCTTTGATCATGTCTTTTGCAGCCAAGTTGCGCTTTGTCAGCCGGTCACCTTTCGAGTTTGGCTCCCGCCGAACCCAGACGGCATCATACACAACTTCCTCAGCCGATTCACTGCTCCACTATGACCGTGCCAGCTTCAGGAGGTCCGGACAGGCCGAAGCAACTTGTACGACCTTTTCAACCTCGAACCGCTAAACCCCAAACCCTAGGTACTTCTACACCCCTTGGGATAGATTCTGCCCACAATGTCCAAGAAACGTAGGGAATGCCTTGCTTCTTCGGGGCCGCTGGCTGTGTGGTTGGCCCTGCCTCAGGCTTTGCGGCAGCCTCACAAGTCCGGGTCTCAACATGAATGGGCCTTAGAACTCCATGGGACATCTTAAGATGATAGGGGGATCATATACCGCTTATTTAGGGGTTTTCTGAGAAACTCCCAAGCCGAAGAGGGCCTGAGCTTGGCAGATACATCTCTTGATAGGGCAATCTTTCTGAACAGAAATGTGTGCGATGAGTATTCACCCGGGCTACCTGGGATCTGCTTTCATCTGGGGCGCAGTTTATAACGTATGCTTCTTTTCGATTCGTCTGATTGTAAGCTTCGCACATACATATATATATATATATGTATATGAGGTAGATACATATATATATACATATATATACACGTATTTGTTTTAGGCTCTTCGCTTTATTAGACCCCCCCCCCATGGATCTTCTGTTTTCGTGTACGAACTGTCATGAAAGTATATGAAAGTCTAATTCTTTGAACTTGGCCAATGGGTAAGCGTTGTTAAAGGAATGGAAATCAAGAGCAAACTCTGTGATTTTCACTATCTACAGTATTCATCCAAGCACATTTCTCAAGTGATGAGTCAATTAGTGCATGACCATTATGACGCATGAGGCTCTGTAGGCGCAATCCATGTCCTTTCCGCTATGCCTATGGAACACTATCAATTCTACGAAACACTAGCGGGTGTACTCACCATAAACCCCAAGAGCAAAGAACAAATAGCTACTGGGAAAAGAACAGAGAAAGAAGAAGCGTTGAATACATGTCCCTCTTCTCCGCTATAGACAAGGCTGATTTGAAGGAAGTGAAATCTACAGTTCAGAGCAGGCTACTCAAAACATAGCAATAGGTGTGTCCACTTGACCAATTCAAGTATTTCCTTTGCTCACGTTTTACGACCTTGAGTGAGCTGAAATCCTGAGAAAGCAACGTCATCCCTCAATCCAGGGATTTCCATCCAACATGAAGAACTCATTTGGCTTGAAAACATTGAACACTCTAGACATTACAGCTAGCCCGCTCCTCTCATGAATCACAACTGCTTGAAACAGGCCATGGGCCCTACATCGTTCCAACATAGCATTGAAACAACAAATTCCACTATTCATTACTCCCGTTGTTTTCATGTACTGACGCAATGCCATTAACTTCATTAGAAAGAGTATCTTGGCTCTACGCGAATGTTATGTATATAGTAGTACTGGAGAAATGGCGCCGGTTGTTCCGTATTTGTTCAAAAATCCGTGACATGTTTCACTTATTGAAATAGCTGAAGTGGCCTCTACTTCTCCCTCGCAGGGTCCTCAATGTTTACACACACCATTTCGCTGACAGGTTGTGCCAAAAGTGACGATGGCCGCAAGCGCGTACGTAGAGGCTACAATCTACAAGCTACATTACATGCATAGATAGCATTGTGATTCTTGTTGTTGTGATTCCGACAGGGTTCTTGGTTTCTGGGCTCCTTGGTTTTAAGAAAAGTTGTAAAGTTTTGAGCTTCAAACCTCAAGGCCCCAGAAACAAAGAACGCAGAACCACAAAGACCACTATCAAAAATCCGTTGAGTGAGCGTATCTCAAATTGGCCCTGTATTGTCCGGCCATGCCACAGTCCCTAAACCCCCAACCTAGATATCCTGCTGATCCGCAAGCGCAACTGTCGATTTGATTGTCCGTCTGATTTTCTAGCCAGTTCCTTTAGCATCATTCCGGGAACTACTCTCTAACACCTCTGAAACCCAAGTAGTTTAGCCATTCTCTTCCCCATTCCCTACACCATATATACCTTGTAAATCTCAATACATTCTCCCAGTTTCCATGTCGTTTTCCATCTGAGGCTCAATTACGACTGAAGTGGAAATAGCGGCTTTCCATCCTCTGAACCCAAAAGGCTCTCGAACCCTAAACCCTAAATAAGAGTTTCCATTGTCTTTTCCATTCCCAAACCTTGAATACTATAATAAATATAACTCATCATAATCAACCCTAAGCGCTAAACCCTAAACCCCTCTAGAAGTGGTAGTTTCCCAAGAAAAGGGGAGCCTAATATAGACCCCAAAATACTATAATCCTTACTATGGGGACCCCCAATAAGGTATCCCTAACTTTGGGAAACCCCCAAGTGTGTCACCTCCTAAACCCCTGGCCTGCGCACCCAAGGCTCCCTCAGCCTCAGCGGCTGCCGCTACGGCACTCAGGGCTCCAGGCAGCTCTGGACGCCTTGGGGGGCTTCAGGGAGTAGAGGTTTAGGGAGTGGAGGGTTAGGGACCATGGATTTAGAGAGGAGGGATGTAGGGTGTGGGGGTTAGGGATTAAGGGTTTAGTAGCTTTCCAAAGGGGCTTTGGGATTACACTGGGGTGCTCTGATAGAAGCACCCCCCAACAAGTGGGGAATGGAATATTGCGGTGTCAACAATGATATCCGGAAAATTTTATTGGCCGCCGGCTTGTTTTTTCGGCCGAGAAGTTCGCTCTCTTCCGTCCCCTTATTGTTATTGCGTGGGTAAGAAAGATCGCTCCTTTCCATTCGCTTTAATAACGGGAACCCCAACACCATGGCTCAGCGTAGATAGCTGTCTTTGACGTCATGTGCCCTGAGGTCCAAGTTAAATTGCCTCGCTTTTGCGGAGCCTCGGTTTGGGGCTCTAAAACATATTGATACAACACTAGGGGTTATGTAGGGCTTACTTAGGGGATATATGAGGGAAATCTGGTGGGTATACAACACGCGGTCAGCTGGTGGATAAAGTCAGCCTAATCGGCGAAGGCACTGAGGCGAGTCGGGCACATCGGTGGCAGCCTGTCGGGACAGGGCAAGTGTGGTTCTGGCAGCTCCACGTAATGTTTGACCTACAGACCTAGTCGGTAGTTGATAGGCGCATCTTTTCTACAGATGTGTGCGGAAGGATATTCTTTCCTTATGCCTTTGACTTCATCAGCTCACTCCACTCGCTCTAACCTTTCTTTGGCTCCAAATCTTGGCAAACACCAACCCACCATATTGAAATGAGGGCCTCCTCCATGGCTTCCAGAAGGTCATCCTTTTTCATGACACCTGGCCCAGAGATGTGATTATGTTGCAAGCAGGTCGTGGTAGATCTACGAGTACAGATGTTAGATACTGCCCATGCTCGTAATGGACCAGCCTATGATTTCAGAACACGCAACGCAGCTAAGCACATGTCGATATCATCTTAGACACCGCATGTGAAACCCTTCACTCAAAAGCTTGGAAGATGCTAGATTTGTTTTGGGAACCCCTTTCAGATGTTACCTCTTACCTGACGCACAATAGTTGGGGCTTTTCGGCACGTAAGCCCCAAGTCTACACACCATTCATGTCATTGCTCATTTTCTTTCCACTGGATTTTCCACTCTTGTCGGCACCACTACCGGTAAACCTCAAATAATTGCGTAGTTTCGATTCCTCTGGCCCTTCGCTAAACCGTGACCCCTAAGAATTGTTTGAGCTCATGAGGTATTCGAAAGTGACCCAACGGGTTCTTCGCCGCGAGGATTGAGCCAGAAATCTTTTGGCTCCGGAACTACCTTGCCTGCACAACAAAAAGCCCTTAATCTGAAGCCCTAAGCCATGAACCCTGAACCCAGAGCCCATACAGTAATTTCATTTGTCTTTCCCATTTTTTCCCCCTGCGCCTCGCCGCCTTGCCGCTGCCATGGCTTCCGCTGCACGCCGCTCCTCCGGGCCGAGCTGCGCTAACACCGCCCTGGCAAAGGATGTAGTTCGGGTCTATAAAGAGATGTATACGGGTGTATAAGCATATTGGGAAAATAGGGCTGTATAAGGTTCTATGTGAGGCCTATAGCGGTATGCGGGGGGCTATATAGATTTCTCATCACTACGCGCACTGGCAAAAAATGTTATTTTCACCCTGAGAGGCTGGCAAGTGGGCAAAACCTCCCGTTGGGGAGCCTCCAAGCACGTCCCGCTGACTTTTTGGGCGAGAGAGTAGTAAGGGAGTCAGGCCTCCGGCATTCTGCACAAGTTGAAGGCGGATAGGACATTCAGCCAAAACAGCGGTCAATCGCCCATTGTATGGAAGGGACCCGAGCGGCTGGAATCATTGGGCGCAGAATGGATATAAAACTTGGGGCCATCGCGATGCGCCTTCCTACAGGTTGTGTTCTGGCCACAGCTCCAGCGCCGTTGGTTACTGCATAACCTTCTCGGCTGACACCGCCCTTGCACGTCAACAGTGAACAACCCACAGACGTATCCGTCTTCAGCGGCCCACACCTTAATGCCACGACAATCTTCGGAAGGGGGAATACCTGGGGGTCATCAAGTGACACCCCCAGTCCTCAGGCAGCGCTGCAGGTCAACCACCGCCACATTTCATGTTGTAGGCCAAATCCTGATGACCTTGTCGGCCTCTAATTACTAGTCTACGTCTAATCTCCCCATGCCTTCGAAAGCCTCGCAATGGACATCCTGTCCTTGTGGGAGATGCACCCATCGATGGGCCCAGCGAGCCTCTCGAGAACTCTGTCTTGAGCAGGAATCAGAAGTATGAGCCAGAAAGCAAACT